TCTTCTTAGTGGCCAATACGGGACCACCAGCTCCAGCGGTGTCTTCTGAACAGACAAAAATTGACGAAATGCCATTCACCACATTTCCAGCATGCCGACGATGGCTTCTTGTCGATCCGCAACTGAAGGTAATGTCAATGGCTATCTATGGGAGATGTCCGGTTTACTTTTGGTAGTCGAAACATTAGTTCGAGTGCTATCCAATGAATGTAAGTTTCGTTGTCCCAAACACTTACCCTTCTATAGACGGTCGCAGTCAATGTGGATCCTGGTGTAATGTGGCTACGAGGCGAGTCAGATCTCAAGGTCCCTTGCGCGTTGTTATATGTTCCGATTCTTCCGAGATACATGCCTTCCTACTGTTGACAGCAAGCGATGGATTGTTGTGCGTGTTTTCGTTTTTTTCTGACTGTTGAACAGCTCTTATGCTCACTTTTCTGCGGTATTTCTTAGCTCCACCACCCGTCCATTCTAGCCCGGGTATTGAAGGTATGTGAAAAAAGATGCTGTAACAACCAGCCGTATCACTTTGTTAATGTTTTTCCTTTGCTGCTTTCCTTACTCTGGGTTTTGTGTGGATGGATGTGTCTCCTTTCTTGAAAAAAGCTGTCATCGTTCTGAACCTGATGACTTGCACTTTCTTCGCATATTCCTTGAAACAAAATCATAAGCTTTGTATGAAGCCCATATTTTTTGCTAATTGCCTCATGGTTTGATTAGGATGATTGGATTATATAGAGTAGTGTGCCGAACGGGAGAGATCTGTGCTCGCAGAAATGCCATCTGTGTGACATTTTGAGGACTCGAATAGAGCATTGCACTCATCAAGCAACACCATCCGGGCTCGCTTGTGGTTGTATCGTTCGTGGCCGTTTTGTCACGTTTTACCCTTTTACTGGAGTTCTCCTCCGTCAAGTTCTTCTTTGCAACGGATATGGGTTGAAGCCAATGTTCGATTCTGTTGACTAGTTTTTCGGTTGCTTTGATCATTGAGCTTTATAACACTGAGGTATTTGAAGGTCATTAGGTTAATTCTGGCATCTTTTTTACCCGTTCTCTATACATTTATCGCGGGGGTAGGTCTGTTTTCGTGGTTCTTAATTTTTAAAACTTGAAGTTCTGTGTATCCTGGAGTACCTTCCTGACTAAAGCGGGTCTCCCACGGCTATTGAAACCGTTTTTATACTCGTGTGTGTTTGTGACGATGTATTTTCTTGGTTTTGCTGACCAACACCCCGATAAATCCTGGTTTCCTTTTTGGCATTATGTCCTGAACCTGCGAGATCTGCCGCACCGGTTTTTTGTGTCAACACGCACGGCCAGTTTGACTGTAGCAGCGCATATTCCAAAACCTCCCAGATTTCCCAGTCTTATCTTCATCATCACCTAGTGATTTGTTCCGTGTACTACTTCAGGAAATGATGGTAAGATTACACGCACTCTTCCTTTTGGTATTGCGCCATGGTTGACCTGTTGACGGTTGTGCTGCTCGAGGCCCACTCTGCTCATTTGGTTTTTCGCTGTGCACCCAATACTAACCTGGGCCACTGCACATTTTGGGTTTGGTCTTTTTAGGCTCTTGCTCTAATTCCGCCCCCAACTTGTGTACTGTCATCCTCCTACGCTCCGCTGTATGTGGGATCGAATGCGCTTGTGAATCTCCGGTTCCCTTGGTTATTTCGAGGTCCCCGCGTTATGTTTCTGTGTGTCCAAACACGATATCAACCTTACCGTCGAAGGATATTTCCATAGCATTGTTGTGGAGTACGATGGTGAAGATGGTGTATCGCAACCGGAAATTGTAGTGGACCCCAGTTCCGCATCACCAACAGTAACTAGACTGTTGTTTTCAAACTACAGCTATCACACCTCGATACAATGCGTTAGTAGGCAGCTCTACTGAAGGTGTTCTCTCATCTGCGTAATAGATTGCAGCAGACCTGGGATGCCAGTGATGGCGAGCGTGATTGCTTTCGGTGCTTCGGGGTCTGTAGTGGCAATAAATTCTCTTCGGAATGTCGTTGATCGTTGATTTCATGCGATCGACGCAAGGCTGCGACGGCTATATTTAGCCTATATTACATTCGTTTTTTTCCGGTAAGGATGAGAGTCTCATTAGCAGATGTTCAGTGCGCGGAAGAGCACTTTGCAGGAACAGAATTTATACACGAACAGACGCAGCGTGCATCAAAACACTGACAGTCCTTTCGATTATTTACTTCTTGATCCGAGCGATGGTATGTTGCTGGTAAATTCCGGCATTGCCACAATCGATCAGTTTTGTTCCCACTCTCTTGATGAAGTGTTACGTCTCTGTTATATCTGTTGCTGTCCCCGCTCCGGTGCCTAGTTCCGGAAGAGACATCAACAAAGCACTCAACAGCTTTATTGCAACAAGTCAATGCGTGCGAGTGCAAAAGTTACAACGGCCTCGGATTATTTAAAGAGCACTTTTTGATTTCGACTCAGGCCTTCTGATAGGCGTTTAGTAAACACCCATCAACATCGACCGTGCTTATATGAAACTCCTGAACGCTAAGTTTAGTCGATCGTGCTTCTCCGGCGTGCTTGAACACTCATCGGCTCTTGCTGAATTGATTGAGTGATTGACTGGCCTGGATGCTTGCCGGCTTCCTTATTGAGATTTTGGTGGAGTTATAGGGATTCAGTAGGTTCCTGGCGTTCTGGGGTTATTTTCAGGAATCTGACCTTCCTGACAGTCTCCAACTGGTTTTTACTATTTTTTTTATCAAGTCCAACTGATTTTACTGCTCAATATGGGGACCTCACGGGATTTTTTAATTCCACAATCACCTCTACCTCTGTTTTCCACCTTACTGGAACGGCGTATCTCTTCATACTGGAGTTCCTATAGCATCACACTTAGTGGTAACAAAAAATACCTGGCAAATGCTCACGCTAGATTGATATCGTCTCTGGGTTGATGTTGACATCAAGATAGCCTTTTCGAAGGCATGCTCTAAGGCAGTTCTCTATGGCCCTCACAACAGATTCTGCATAATCGTTTCCTTGAAAGTGCCTCATACGGTCTTTCATGTTGTTCAAAGTTGCACGCGGAAAATGGCTAAACTCCTGTTTTCTCACTTCTGTTGCTGGCATGCAAGGTCTCCGAGCAATGTTGAACGATGCGAATGCTAGGATCGATTTGATGACGAAGCACACAATTGAGCTTGAGGGGCTGCTGTCCTCCCGTTCGGCGGAAGTGGATCGTCTCAGTCTGGAACTGTGCAAGCTACGCAACCGGCTGCTTCAGGATGGATGCACAAAATACTTGGAGATGCATACGTGACTTTCCACCCCCACCGTCCTATATCGTGCCTTCATTGTTAACCTGCATCGAATATCCCGATTTAATAACAATTTTCTTCAGTTGATTGCCTCGCCCATATCTTCCCAACTAGGGGTCGTAACACGTTCCATCCAATTATCCAATATACTTGTCTTTCAAAGGCTTTAGCGAAACGGTATCTCCAGTGCTCAAACATTCCACCTGTATGTATTAATTTACAATGTTTTGGTCCTCGATTATCTCTGTTTGCCCGCCAGTTGTGGCGTGGCTTCAATTGGGCTGTGTATCCCATCGCTTCATTTTATTCTTATTCGAGCTGAATACTTTTCATTTATCGTTTCATCATTCACTGAGTTTTTTCCAAAGTGACGATTCACACTCAATTACTCAAGACAGCTGTCGTCTTTGTCATTTTCTGAATAATGATTAACATGAACATGAAATGCATAACGAATCTACGAACTGTTGCAATCGACGTATTTCGGTGAGGGGCAGCCACTCGTATGTGGGGTCAAGTGAGGTTTGTGAGAGGTACGATGCGTCAAGACTCGAAGCTACTCCACAGTACATTGCGACTCGAAAACCAGTGCATGTTTGTCTCATATGAAGCCATATTTTATTCGTGAATAGTATATTTAAGACTGGATTTTGATGATAAGGAACTGGAGGACGGCTAAATTCTCTGTCTGAAGCCTATGATCTCAGCTGTTATATGACACGAGTCAAGTTGATTCCCGTGAGTATCTGTTCGATGATTCTCTGTCCATCCTTATGCTTTCTGTGGTCGATGCCTACGAACTGCGTTGTTTTTACAGTAAAAAACAGGAAGATAGCACTTCCGTTTCCCCTTTGGAGAACCAAAACTGCAGTTTGTCTCACCAGAAAACTGGGTAAGCATCGGTTGAGACCAGTCTGGGGAACTCCAGCGCTGTGACAACTAATCTGATCCGCCCAGATATCGCCGAAGAAATCTACCACGATGTGAACTTGTCTTTCACGGCGCGCTATATTGATCATTCTTTTTGACAGTGTTCGGTAAATTATCATAAACCGGACACAAGTAAACTGTCTGTGGATTACGTGACCCTCCCGGTCAAGGGGACAGAGAGTGTGACCTGTCACCTTACGGTCTTTCAAATCCATTCGGTGCCGGATTTGGTACCCTGAATTTGGTAGTCCTCTTCGGAGCGAGTCAGGAGGGCAAAATCATCGACGTGAATTGATCCACAAGTCATTGGATGTCGTCGCACAATGACAGATTATTCATATTCGCGCCGTCGTCGAATCCCCAATGGGTACTTAATGAAGCTGTGAAGAAGAGATCACCTGCAGGGGTCCAGTTGACTTTCTTCAGTCAAACACAGTAAGTCACACGTCAACCCAGAAAGCTGTCCGTTTTGGAGAAGAGGATCATTATTTGCGTCGAATCCCGACTAAACTCGACGGTAATAACGTCCAGTTTGACTTCTGGCATTTCATGTGTTCTAATTACATGTTTTTTCAGACTCCCAACTCCGACGTCCTTCCGGAAAAACTGGAGTGCCGAAGAGTGGATATCGAACTAACTATGTCTTTATGGGCGATGGTTTCCACTTTAAGTAACTTGCTGAGAAGTCTATTGCTTCATCTGCTAACCGTTAGAGTGTGATGCTTGTCACCGCAGTCACCTCTGCACTCGTTCACTCTCACAATGTGTTCACTTCTTCGCTTTGGCACCCTTCGCTTCTCGCAACCGTTGAGTACTACTCAACAAACGGGCGTTTCCTGTTCTTCTCACTATTACCTTCCTTTTATTCCCCACACCCAAGGTCCCCAAGCTATGCTAGACGATATGAACACCCTGATTGATTCGCTAAAGAAACGTACACTTGAACTGGAAAAACAGCTGTCCGCAAGCTATGCGGACGTAGATCGTATCAGCTTGGATCTGTGTAAACTCCGTAGTCGGCTGCTGGAAGATGGTGTCATAAAGTATTTGGAGAGGCAAGCGTGATTTTTGCCATGCCGTCAACAACCCAGAAACTTTGTGAAGTGCTTGGCCTTGACGCATGATCTGCTTCTTATCGTGTATGTGTTACAACACACTCCTTTGGAGCAATGATTCACTTCGATTACCATTTTTCTTCCATACTTCCAAATTAACGTTTTACGTTCATTTCTGCTACAGATACTCAGCTACTTTTTGTATATTGCATATTATGTCTGCCAAATCTCCACATTTACACGACTTCAGCGCATCCACGACGTTCCCGCCTACCAGCGAGATGCCTAATCAAATAGGGAGATATGCAAATTGGCAAAATGTAACCGCAGCTCAATTTGGCTCTTGCGTGTGTGTGTGTGGATTTCCGTTATTAATCGAAAAACAGTCATCCGATATATTTGTTAGCTTGCATGATTATGCTATGTGGATGGGTGTCGGGAGGCTAGTGATAAATTCGTTCTTCGACTGAACTATGGTCAAGCTCGGTGTTTTGTTTGTGTGGATTTCTCGCATGTGCTTTTTCTATGCTTGTCTGTGTAGACAGTCAGCTTCTCTGGTTGAATTTCTGTTTATCTTGAGCGCCTGAACAGCCCACATCTTGTTCTAATGCGGTGATTCTGATGCATTCATACTAGGGTAGAGGTTTCACTCTTGGATCTGACCAGCAATTTATAGCCCTGATCATATCAGATTTTATATTGCGGTCAAGTTACATACCAGGCGAACCTGATACCACTACTCCACTAGCACCCGGTGGACACTTCCGAACATCGAATCAGGTTTGGCTAACGTGTCCAAACTTTGAGCGACGTGATTGGTTTACCCTACATGTTGAAGGACGATATTGTATCCATCTGCACGCCTGGTTGAACCATGTTGTCCAAGAATGGGGTTTTTTCAAGAATAGGGGATCATTGCTCCGTCCAGGTTATATGAATGATTTATGCTTCAGCTCCAAGTGCGGTGTTGCACACAGTGCTTTCCAACAAAATATCTCGAATACTTGCACCCTGTTCTTTTTTCAAGAAGCTGAAGAGACAGTAAATTTCTCCATTGGTGAAGTCTTTTTCTCTATCCAGAATGCATACTCAAATGTTTCCTATTGGGAAGAATGAGATAGTCTAACTTGGTTCATCTTGAAACTCGTTCTGACTTCAAGTCTGAATACCCTGCTGCCTCACTACTTACTTGTCAGAGAATCCGTGTCTTTCAGCGGGGAAACGGTTCCCAGGCTGCTACACTCGATGCGATCACTACCACAGTTGCTTAAATTGGTAGCTGACGGAGCGGTGTGGGCTAATTTTTTGAATATGAGTATATCGAGTCTCGATATGTAATCTATGTATACCTCGGGTGTGTTTGGAGAGGCCTAGAAATCTGACTGCACTCGGCTACAGAAAACACGTTGCAGGTCCAGACTACTGGAGACTCGTGAGTAGTCACGGCAGCATGATCTCCATACATCAACTGGTCTCGTATGTGAGGCAAATCCGGCTTGACATGGGACGTAATAGGTATGCCCGTGTGATATAGAGCACCCGGAGATTAGGCTAGGCTGAGTTACGGTTAGAGGCCAACTTCAGAACGGATTTTTCAATTTGACGAATTTTAAAGAAGCCTTTGCTCTTGATCTCAATCTAAATGGCGATAGATTTCGAAAGCTCGGGATAAAATTTCATTCGAAAAGCCAGAAAAACCTTTAGGTTTCTTAGCGAAATACACTCTTTTTCAAACGAATTCCGGTTCGTGGGATGACAGTAGAAGGTCCTTTAGGGTCATCTGTAAATGAAACCTGTCCAGCTAGGTAGACAAGATCTTTAGGTTAACGAATCTAAAAGGGTGATGAAATTGATCAAGGAGGGTAAAATAATAACACCAACATGATATAGTAATAGTGATGCTACAGTGAAAAAACCCTAGATGAGTTCGCCGGGACAAATAAAACTCAGGAAAAATGCGATTGAGGATGCTCAAACCATGAAGGTCATGAGTTACAGAAACGAATTTGGGGATGGTCTAATCAGTGACTACTTTTTTAAGGGGAAAATAGTATCTTTGTAATGTACTACTCATAAGGTTGCTGAAAACCCATCAACAGCCCACGGCCGGTTTCGCCCTTCTGGGGCTCATCGATTGAGGATGCTCAAACCATGAAGGTCATGAGTTACAGAAACGAATTTGGGGATGGTCTAATCAGTGACTACTTTTTTAAGGGGAAAATAGTATCTTTGTAATGTACTACTCATAAGGTTGCTGAAAACCCATCAACAGCCCACGGCCGGTTTCGCCCTTCTTGGGGCTCATCAAATAGGCGCAGTCCCCGGGTTTCCGTCAACCTTATGTTCTACTTAAAACCAAATTGCACGAAATTAGCGAATATACACTCATCTGCAAACTAATTTGGTTCTTTCGAGAGACTCATCTGGAACCCAGCTGAATCTCTCACTTATGATGTTCTCAGGCAGTATCTGGTAACTTTTATCGGGGGAGCGTTCAACTAAGACCAGTGAAGACAGGACATTTTACTCGAATAGCTCGAGACTGCTCAATTGTTACGGCACGAATCTACTGACCAGAAGGCCTGAGGTTCAGACTCGACTACTCTTGTGTAGGCATGGACAACGTGGCGTATCTCAGTCCTTGTGGCATGATACACCTGTAAGTCGTTACAATTGAACGATCATTTATTCAATTGTTTATTAGAATAATGAAGCCGTCCGGAATACAATGAGGCAACGGGATTGCAGGAATTGTACTGTATGTTTGCCCATTACACAGGACAATGGTACGGATTCCTCAAAATAAATGGAACTCAAGGAGATTAGATGACATCTCGAATCATACCCGCACTTTTAGGAAGCACAAGCATTCGGCTACTGGAAGCTGTGAACTGCTTGAGATCAAGGGACCAGCCCACATCAGTTGACGGCTTCAGTCGTTCTGCTGTGTGCGGACAGTCCAAAAATACCGATTTTACCATGCCACCTTTTGAATCCAGTTTTGACCATCTAATAATGTGGATGGCGTAATGTTGGCCGAAGGTCTGGACTACAAATTCTCGCCCCTGAAAGCCAGACTAATATTCAGTACTACCTAGTTCCGTGCACGCAATGGACACGTTTGGTAGTGCATTGGCTTGAGCAAAAGTGAGCACGTTTTTACTGGTCAGATTCTCAGGTAGGGTCATCGATGATCCATGTTTTGGAAGTCGCCTTGGATCACGTCCACCTCACGATCAGCCCCATCCATTGGGTTACCCATACTGCCAACATCCTCATCACTGTCAACTGCAAGAGTCGCGTACCTGTCGTACAATGGTTGTAGCTGTCACCGTTTCATTCACCCCATGATTTGGGTAGGTGTGGTAGGTAGCTGCGCATTGGAGGCGGAAGCCGATAAATTGGTGCATAAATACGGGGTTATCAGTGGAATTTTAATTTGGGAGATTGAGAGAGGAGCTATGCATTGAAGGTAACAGGTGGATGCAAGAGCACCATTGAGGGCGGGACTGGGCCATGTCTGACAGTGTCCTCAACCATTGATGTGGCCCGTCTCGGGGTCCCCATCCAGGAAGACCGCAATGACCAGCGCAGCAGAGTTTGCTGGTAATGGCTTCTATACTTCGCTGTCAATACAGTGTTTGACCACCTGTGGCCCGTTTCCACCCTTTAGTGGTTGTGATTAGTTCATCTATCGAGGGTGAGTTATTTCTTCCGAGTACCACTCGACGTACTTCAGCATTGTTTATCCGGTGTTCCTACCAAACTCGGGCAGTGCTCCGAAGAAATTGATGGTCAAACACAGTCTTTTGACGTCCTCGGCGCGCAGCGGCCAGGTTTCTGATCCA